CATGAAAAATTTTTTAATTATCTTTTTTTTTTTTTTTAATTTTAGAGAGCGGACAGGGGAGAGGCTCAGAGGGAGAGAGAGAGAATCTTAAGCAGACTCCACACTCAGCAAGGAGCCCAGCGCGGGGCTCAATCCCACAACCCTGGGATACTGATCTGAGCTGAAATCAAGAGTTAGTTGTTTAACCAACTGAGCCACCCAGGAGCTCCTTATATACAAATACAAATGTGCTAAGAATGTTTAAAGTCCTCAGTTTTGGTACATGGTTAGCAATATCTGGCTCAGCCAAATTTATGAAAATATATTACCAGGGTGCCTGGCTGAGTGCCTGACTCTTGATTTTGGCCCAGGTCATGATCCCAGGGTCATGGGATTGAGCCTCAAGTCAGACTCTGCTCTGAGCATGGAGACTGATTAAAATTCTCTCTCTCAAAAATATTTTTTAAAAATTAAAATTAAGGGGCGCCTGGGTGGCTTAGTCGGTTAAGCGTCCGACTTTCGCTTAGGTCATGATCTCGCGGTTCGTGGGTTCGAGCCCTGCGTCGGGCTCTGTGCTGACTGCCGGCTCAGAGCCTGGAGCCTGTTTCAATCTGTGACTCCCTCTCTCTCTGACCCTCCCCTGCTCACGCTGTCTCTCTCTCTCTCCTAGAAATAAAACATTAAAAAAAAAATTAAAATTAAAAAAACTTAAAAAGAGAACATACTACCATATTTTTACTTAAGGGATTAGATATTTCTTAGGCTTAGATCCAGTATTTATATATTTTCTTAAGATTAAAGCTCAAAAAATATACCTGTGATGTCTTAACTAAATCTCCAAGTATTTTAATACCACATATTAAAAAAATCATTTCTCCAAACTAATTCGGCATTAACTTTTATCATATATAAACTTCTATGAATTTATCCTATAAATACCTGCAAACATAGATAATTTGAGAGCTCTTATTTTATTCTATATTTTGTTTTTGTCAGCAGTAACCTGTATTTATTATTATACTTTATATATAGTAAGGAAAGTTCTTTTCATTAAGCATTTAAAAATTTGCATACTTTTGATATTAGTAGAGAAAATTTAGAAATGCTAACATTTTGGGGGCACTTGGGAAGCTCAGTCAGTTAAGCATCCAACTTTGGCTCAGGTCATGATCTCATGGTTTGTGGGTTCGAGCCCCACATAAGGCTCTGTGCTGAGAGCTCAGAGTCTGGAGTCTGCTTCATATTCTGTGTCTCCCTCTCTCTCTGTTCTCTTTCTCTCTCTCTCTCTCAAAAATAAAAAAAAACATTAAAAAAAGAAATGTTAACATTTTCATTGGAATTTGATTCAATAGCATACTTCTTAATGTGAATTGTATTATTAACATTACAAACATTTCCATCTAGGACGATGGTTTTCTTTGTTGTTATTCAAAATAAATTGTATGACTTAAGTATAGTTTCTGGTTTTAAGTCAATGTTTCCCTCACATTAGTTTATTTTAATGTTGTTTTCCAAAATTCCACTAGTCTTTCACTAATGTATTTTCACTTATACCTTGGAAGAGGCTATTGCTTAAAAAGGAAATTTTTTTTATTTTTTTAATTTATTTCTAGGAGAGAGAGAGAGAGAGACAGCGTGAGCAGGGGAGGGTCAGAGAGAGAGGGAGTCGCAGACTGAAACAGGCTCCAGGCTCTGAGCCGGCAGTCAGCACAGAGCCCGATGCGGGGCTCGAACCCACGAATCGCGAGATCATGACCTGAGCAAAAGTTGGACGCTTAACCGACTAAGCCACCCAGGCGCCCCAACCCAGGCAGGTTTTTAAAGTTTATAGTGAAAGCCCTATTATCTACAGTTGACTTTGTATGTTTGGGCTTCGTGGTCTGGGCCAGTGGCTCCATGATTATTTTCCTGCACAGGCACAGGCAACAGGTCCACTATATTCACAGCAACAGCCGTTCTTCCAGACCTTCTCCCGAGGCTAGAGCCACACACACCACTTTGATCCTTGTGAGCTGCTTTCTCTCCTTTTACTCACTGTCTTCTCTTTTGTCTGTCTGGATGATTCTATTTGTTATTCCAGGCCAGTGGCTGGTGGATGCCTCTATATTTTTGTCTTTATGTTTCTCAACATTCAGCCCCTTTGTGCTCATTTTCAGTGATACACGTGTCACTGGTAAACTGCAAAACCGGTTCTGTCTTATCTGCTATGCGAGGAAAACAGCTTTTGCTAATTTGGCTGAAACCATAAGACTGTGTTCTCTACGGGAAATTCAATCATTCTTTCCATCATCTGCTAATACTTCGGGCATCAATAATTTTTAGGTTTTTGATAAGAAAATATTATTCTGTGTAGACTGGAACAATTAGGTTCTAGAACTCATGAACCCTATAATAGGAGGATGTGAATATCATGTAAGTAGTTTACACAAACACTACTCAAACTGTCTTAATGTTTATTTTTTGAGAGAGAGAGGGGCAGACTGCAAGTGGGGGGGGAGCAGAGAGAGAGGGAGAGACAGAATTAGAAACAGGCCGCAGGCTCTAAGCTGTCAGCACAGAGCCTGACATGGGGCTCAAACCCACAAACCGTGAGATTGTGACCTGAGCCAAAGTCTGATGCCCAACCGACTGAGTCACTCAGGCGCCCCAAACTGTTTTAGCTTCATCAAAAGAAAAGTTCATGAAATTTTGAAATAGAACAGAAACTTTGAAAAAGAAATTTTGAAATTGTGAGTTTGGGGATTTGGACAAAATCTCTCACTTTGCAGGTGTTTTTGTGTATATATGGCAATAAATTATATGTAACATAAAATTTTCCATTTTCATCATTTTCAAGTATACCATTCAGTGGCATTAAGTAAATCTGTAATGTTTTGTGTCTACTTCCACTACTACTATCTATTTATAGTTCACATATAATATATATGTCAAAATACATATATGAAAATAATACAACATACAATGCTGTGTTAATTTCAAGTGTACAACATGGTGATTTGACAACTCTATACATTACACAAAGCTCACCATAGTGCAACCACCATCTGTCACCATGCAGAGTTATTACAATATTATTGACTTTATTCCCTATGCTGTATCTTTGTCCCTGTGACTTATTTATTTTATAGCTGGACATGCAAAACTTTTAAAAAAATCAAGCCAAACAGAAAATATGTACCCACTGATCAAGAATTTCCCATTTCCCTCTCTACCTAGGCCCTGTTAACCTCTAATCTATGTTCAGTCTCTATGAGCCTGCCTATTCTGGATATTTCCTATGAATAGAATCATAATATTTATCTTTTTGGGTCTGGCTTTAATCACTTAGCATAATGTTTTCAAATTTCACCCATCTTGTAGTATGTATCAGAACTTCGTTCCTTTTTATGGATGAATAATATTCCACTGAATGAATGCACCACATTTTAAAAATCCTTTCATGTTTAACAGATACTTGAGTTGTTTTGACCTTTTGGATATCATGAAGAGTGCTGCTATGAACACTGGTGTACAAGTGTTTGTTTGAGTCCTGTTTTCAAGTCTTTGGGGTGGATACCCAGGAGTGTAAATGGTAGGCCCAATGGTATTTCCATATTCAAAGTTTTGAGGAGTGGCTAACCTGGCTTTCACACTTTTCACCTACTTCCCACATTGTACCATTTTACATTCCCATCAGCAATCGATGAGGGCTCCAATTTCTCCAAGTCTCTACAGCTTTGTCAATACCACCCCCCCCCCCCCATGGTCATCCTAGTAGATGTGGAGAGATACCTCATTGTGGTTTTGGATAAAATTTCCCTAATGAGGGGTACCTGGGTGGCTCAGTTGGTTAAGAGTCCGACTTTGGCTCAGGTCATGATCTCGAAGCCAGTGAGTTCGAGCCTCACATCGGGCTCTGTGCTGACAGCTCGGAGCCTAGAGCCTGCTTTGGATTCTCCGTCTCCCTCTCTCTCTGTCCCTTCCCTGTTCACACACCGTCTCTCTCTCACACAAAATAAACATTTTAAAAAATTTCCCTAATGAAGCATACTGTTAACATCTTAAGTAATTCACAGTTGCTGTTTGCCATGATCCTTTTCCTCATCTATTTTCCCCTCTCTCCTGACCTTTCGTCAGTATATAAACAGGGACTGACACCTACTCTCCTGAAAGGAAGAGCACTCTTGCTTCCGTCCTCCCTAATGCTCTATTCCATTTCCTGATGCTCCCATATCATCTTCCCCACTGCCCACCCCAATCCGCCTTGCAGCCCACACATAATCCCTCCTCCACTCTCTCTCCCATTCCCCAAATCAAGTGAAGGAAATCACATAGCAAAATATATATCCAACAGGAGACAGACACATCCTATTAGAAACAGAGGTAATATATGACTTGAGCTCGTCACTTTGGGATTTTCTTCCCCCTTTATTTAACTCAAAAGATAACCTTCCTGACTCAAGTAAGACTTCTAGAAGCAGCTCCTACTTCAAATAAGATTTCTTCCTCCTTAAATAGGTTAGAGGTTTCAGGCGGTATTCTGTGGATTTCCGTGTACTCCAGGCTCAGGGCTGAGGAGGAGGCTGGAAGCCCTATGTAAGCCTGACGGAGAGTGGGATACGGGCATTAAGAAACCTCAATAATCCGCGTGGGGTCGCCAAGGTGTCTGGGGAAACAACCAACCTGTGCAGGTGCGGGCTGACGTCACAGGCCGGGCGCGCAACCGCTGCGGGGGCTGGAGAGCCGCAGGCGGCACCGGCCGCACGACGACGGGGCTCTCAGGACCCTGCGGGGAACAAAGGCAGCAATGCCCGCCCTGCAGTTACACTCGGGTTGCACCCCATCCCCCTACCCCACAGGCAGTTCTCATCCTTTGAGTTATCAAGTATTCTTGAATTTTCTGTTTTAAAAGAATTCACCATTGCTTTGGCTTGCTTTCCCGACACCCCGACGGGAAGCCGCACAGGGGGCGGGGCCTTGTCCCGGGGGCGGGGGGGGGGCCCTGCTGGCATGGACTTAGGCTCGCGGCAGGGGAGTCTTCGATGCCCCAGGAGCCCATGCTGAGGGTGGGGTCCGCACGGGGCTCTCACTGCTCCTGTTTCTCTGAGGGAACCCGGTTAGTTCTTTCCCTCCCCGGAAAGACACGACCATCAGGTCAGCGGGCCAGGCGTGATCTGAGGGGGCAGCGTGGGGTGGGCACAGCGGGGGTGGAACTTCGCACCGCAAGGTGCCCGCGGGCCCCACGGAAGCTTGGGTGGCGGGCCGGGGACACACTTAGGGTGCGCGGGCACCTCTTCAGAGACGCCCCCCGCCCCCCCAGTCTGAGTTCCCCCTTTCCACCCAAGGGGCTTTCAGGGGGCGCTTGCCCTGGTCCCGAGAGCGGTGAGGGCCACAGGCTGCCCCTAGGGCCTCCCAAAGGACAGCGGGGAGCTGTGGGAGCGTGCGGACTTCCCGTGTGTTGGGCTCCCCCCGGCAGGGCTCCCCGCGTCCCCCGGGCCCCAGGTTTCCGCAGGGATCCCGGGGGCGAAGCCCCTCGGGCCGCACACCTGTATCCGCCGAGGCCAAATCCCGACCTTTGCGGGCGACCCGCGGGGCCTGATCTGGGCCTTGAGCCGGTTCTGGGACGCGGGGCCGGCGGGCGTGGGGCGCGGCTCGGGAGCCGGGGAGAGGTTCGCACGTCCGCACAGGGCGCTTCCCCGGGGAGTCCTCCCACGTCGCCCGCGAGCACCCCGCTCAGGGTGACCCCGTGTGGGGTCGAGCTCCCGCCAGGGGACCGCCCCGGGGCCTCGCCTCACACCTCAGGAGACGATGTCTGTACCCCGCGAGCGACGTGGCCTCGGGGCTCCGCGAGCCTCGAGCCAAGCGCCACGGTGACAGCTGCGTACCCATAATGCCCAGAGACACGTGCCCAGAGCGTGCAGCCAATGAACGCGCAGAAACAGGGGAGTTTCGCGTGTGGACCAGAGCTTCGGGGCCGGACTTCCGGCACCCCTGTGGGTGGCCGTCGCTGTGACTGCTTTCGCGCGCAGCCGCTCTCTGGGTCCTTTAGGAGCTTGCAGTCGCGTCCGGGATGGGGAGTGCGAGAAGGCGATAGGGTCGTCCCCGCTGCACAGCAGGTGGTGTGAGGGTCGGTGGCGGTTGTTGATAACTGTGCACGAGTCCCTTCTCTGTCGCCGACTTCTTAGGACCGCTCTGTACCCAGAGTCCGATGGCTGCGGCCGAGCCCAGGGACCTGGCTCAGGTAAATGCGCGGCTTCCGGGACCTCCCGGCCCTTCGCCCACCCAGACCCTCAAGGCCCGAGCGCTAGGTGCCTGCTAGCGTCCCTGGTGCCTAGGCCTCGGGGACAGTGGGGGAGGTAATGAGTGGCGTCCCCATCTCTGAAAGCCACTGTTGATGAGGTGTGAGAGTGTTACCGGCAGAGGGACCGGTTCGCAGGGGCGATTGATCCAGGAGCAAATGCTCCTGTAGTGCCAAGGTGAAGAGTTTTAACTTAATTCTCAGGATGCTGGGAACCATGGAGGGTTCTGAATAGAAGAGGCACATGATCTGAGTTAGGCTTCTCAAAGTTTTCAAAAAAGTACTCGGAGTTAGAATAGACTGGAAAGGAGAGGATGATACCGAGGCACAGGGAGGTTGAGTCCTTGTCCCAGGTCACACAGCTGTAAGAGTCAGCACTGGGGACTGAGGCTCAGGGAGGATGCAGTCATCCCGGCTCTCCTGGCTCCAGGGCGGGGCTGGGGTGCAGGAAGGCATGAGCCTATAGACCATAGAGTCCTGCCATGGTTACATCCCTCTGATGACCCTCCTGTTTGGGCAGATTACCAAGACCACAGAAGCGCTTTTGGACTGTATGAAGGTGAGTGAAGGATATCCCAGGCCCTCGATGGTCCTGAGCCCACCCTTTGTCTCTGGGATAGTGTCTTGAGTCTCTTTGCCTGCCACTCTTCCACTCTTCTTGGGCCTAGAGACCCAGGGTCATAAATCCAGGCCGGAAGTTATATGGAGAGGTCTCTGGTGCTGACCGCCAACACAGCGAGGTAAAAGATTGTTCCAGACAGAGGTACTAGAATATGTTCATTCTAGGAGGTGAGGGCGAGTTTGTTCATGGACCTGCAGTTCTCCCTTCTCCTTCTCATGAGAGAGGAAAGGGAACGGAGAGCAGATGGGAAGGGGTGGGGCCTGGAATGGCTCCATGAAAAGTTGGGAGTCTCTTCTGAAGGTGATGGGGAAAATAGGAGCAGAGGGAGGTGATCTGACCCTGGTCTCTTCAGGACCCCTGTGGCTGCAGCCTGGAGAGGGAGAGCAGGTACTGCTGGAGTCAGGGGTGGGGTATGATGGGGAGAGCAGGTACTGCTGGAGTCAGGGGGGGTGTGTGATGGGGAGAGCGATACTGTTGGGGTGGGTGATGGGGAGAGCAGATACTGTTGGGGTGGGAGGTAATGGGGAGAGCAGATACTGTTGGAGCATGGGGGGGTGATGGGGAGAGCAGATACTGCTGGAGTGGGGGAGTGATGGGGAGAGCAGATACTGTTGGGGTGGGTGATGGGGAGAACAGATACTGTTGAGGGTGGGGGGCGATGGGGAAAGCAGATACTGTTGGGGTGGGAGGTAATGGGGAGAACAGATACTGTTGGAGCATGGGGGGGTGATGGGGAGGGCAGATACTGTTGGAGCATGGGGGGGTGATGGGGAGGGCAGATACTGTTGGAGGGTGGGGGTCAATGGGAAGAACAGGCAACTGCAGTCCTTGAGGCGAGTGTTGGTGGCTGCACTGGGGTGCTGACTGTTGAAGTGGGAAAGCTGGTCGGATTCTGGATCAGCTTTTAAATTCAGCCTGGCCAGAATTTCAGATTTTGAGAAAGAGATAGAGAGAAAGGTAGGGAGTTTTAGGGCTCAGCAGCTGGAAGGATGGAAACTCCCTTAACCAGGATATTAAAATTGGTAGTGGGATTAATTTTCACGGGGCAGATGAGTTTTGGTTTTGGCCATCTTAAGACTCAGAGATGTTTCAGAGAAACACGTGTGCAGAACAATTAGCAGGTGGCCACACAGGTCTGGAACTCTGAGGAAGGGTTCAGTAGGGAGACATCCAGAAGGTGGTGGTCAGTGTCTGCCCTGCAGGGGAGCTGTGGGGATCCTTGTCATCATGGTAAAGGTATTGGCTGCCCAGCAAGGGAAAGCCGGGGGCTGTGGCTGGGTGTCATGCCTGGGCATCTGGGTGGGGTGCTGGGCCTCACAAACACAGCTGAGGCCGAGAAGAGGCTGTGGGAAGGCTGTGGGAGAGGACAGTCTGTCAAGTGGCCAGGGCTCCCACAGGAAGTATAGACATAAGGGGAATGCGGAAGCACAGGACTAATTGGGACAAGATGACACTGAGGCCCACACTAGTGCTCATTCATGCACAGACTTAGCAGGACTTTATTGTGTCCCTTGGTGTATCCTTGCCAGTGAGGCTGGCACATTAGCACAGGGGCACAGGTCATCATCTAGGAGCGTCACTGGGGTGGGGCAGAAGACCTCCAGGGCTGGGCTTTGAATGCTGGTTTGATGGAGAGGAAGGCAGTGACTGATGAGGGCACATCGCATGCACCACGAGTAGAAGAGAGCCGTGGGGTCCGGAGGTTTGTAGGTGGTTCTTGGTGGCCGGGGTTGAAGCAAGGAGCAGAACCAGGCAGAGAGGCCCGCAAGCGGGCTTTGTCTCCTCTGGCAGCAGGGATCCTGTTGGAATTTGCCAAACACCACCTGGATGCCATATGTGGGTAACGTGGGGAGGACAGGGTGATGCTTCTGGGTAGGAGGGTAGAAGTTTCCAGACTGCGACTATGAGAGAAAGGTGTGGCAGAAGTAGTTACATGGAGAGAGAGCATGAACTGAAGGACGCAGGGCCATGACATTGAGGATGTAAGGGTGGAGGGTGAGCCTGCGTTTGGTTGTGTCTCAGAGCCACAATCTGGGGCACTCCAGACACGAGGACATATGTCCTAATGCCGGGCTCAGTGTTGAGATGGCACCTCCCTGCCCACATGGCGGTTGTTGCTGTGGGCAGCGACAATGATCATGATACAGTGAGAAGAGAGCAGGTCTCTCTGGCTCCAGGGCCTGATATTTCCTCCATAGTGGAGACCACTGGAAGGAGGGTGAAGAGGGAATGGACATCTGGGTGAAGAAACTTGGAGTCATAAAAAAGAAGCTGATCGAGAATGATCTATCCTCATCACAGCAGGGCTGTGAGATGCCTGTGCCATGATGCGATGCTGGAGAACTTGACACTTAATAGCTTCGCTGGGTAAGGCCTTCACACTCACCCTGGTATCCTGGATTCTGTCCATTGTCTTTTACCTCACAGGCAGCTCTGCCCTTTCTGCAGCCACACTGTGGGTTCTGCTCGCTTTGCCATTTTCTTGGCACACGTGCCGTGGGGCGGATCATAGTTGTGTGCGCTGCCCTGAGAAGACCTAAGTCCTGTTGCTCTGGGCATCAGGAAGGGTCTGCGATTCGGGAGTCTTGTAGTCAGCCTAACACACTTTAACCCTGTTTGCTCTCTCCCTGGCAGGATGACTTTTGTCAATGGCACCTTGTGTCCCAAGTGCTTAATTGTGGATTGAGTCAGTGGTTTTAGTACTACTGATGTTGGTAAAATGTAAGCACAGAGCCCGACGCTGGACTCAAACCCACGAACTGTGAGATCATGACCTAAGCGAAAGTCGGACGCTTAAGCAACTAAGCCACCCAGGCGCCCCTTATATAACAAGTTTTAATCCACAGAGGCCCTGTTTTAACTTACATTGGGCCATATTAACTATTTTACCTGGGGTGGAGGTGGGGGACTGTGGGATCCCATTTTATATTGAGCTCATCTTTGTCAAATAAGTGTATTCATCATCTTAGAGAATCTGTGCCCAATGTGGGGTACTTTTGGGTGTTCTGACTCTGGGATATTTAGGAAACGCTAGTGTTCAAATGAGGCATATCTCTTTTTTCTTTGTTTTATATCTGGTTACCTTCCTGAGTATAGGAGTACAATGTGTAAAAGTAGTGGGATTCCCCAGATACAATTTGAGCCCCAGTAATGATTAAGTTGATGAGGTTTGGGCTTTGGTGCCTTTTATTAAATGGTGTTTAAATCACTTTATTGAGGAATTATTGACAGGGAAAAAACTTTAAAAAGAAAATATTCGTATATTTCATGGATACAATTTGATGGGTTTGGGGATAAGTATACTCCCATAAATACATTACTGTCAGCAAAGTCATAGACATATCCATCCCTCCCTAAATTTCCTTCTCCCACTTTATTATAAAGTGTGTGTGTGTGTGTGTGTGTGTGTGTGTGTTAAGAACACTTAAAATAAGGTTTAGCCTCTTAGCAAATTTAAATAAACAGTAGTCCCCCCTTACCGTGGTCTCTCTCTTTTTGGTTTTAGTTACCCAGAGTCCACTGCAGTCTGGAAGTAGATGATTCTCCTTCTGATGTATCTTCAGAAGGTCAGTAGTAGTTCCACGCTAAGTCACAGTGCGGATGTCATTCACTTATCTTGCCACACAGGCATTTTATCATCTCACATCTTTACAAGAAGAAAGTGCAATAGAATAAGAAATTTTGAGAGAGACCACATTCACATAACTTTTATTATAATATATTATTGTAATTGTTCTACTTTCTTATTAGCCATTGTTGTTAATTTCTTACTGGGCCTAAGTTATACGTTAAACTTTATCATAGGTGTGTGTGTATATGAAAAAGTGTAATGTAGACAGAGTTCAGTACTATCTGCAGCTTCAGGTCTCCACTAGGGATCTTGGAATGTGTATCCCTCAAAGATAAGGGAGAACTATTGCACATTATAGTATTGTTAGCTATAGACTGCATATAGTAGGTCTCCAGAAGATTACTCATCTTAATAATTGAAATTTTGTACCTTTTAACCATCACTTCTCCATTTCCTCTTTCCCCAAGTCTCCCTTGTCATATATTTATGATTACATATTTATGGGTTTATTTCTGGGCTCTCTATTCTGTTTTGTTGACTTATGTGTCTGTTCTTATGCCAGTGCCATACTGTTTTGATTACTATAGCTTTGGAATATAATTCGAGACCAGGAAGTGTGATGCCTTCAGCTTTGTTCTTCATGCTCAGGAGTGCCTTGGCTATTCAGGGTCTTTTGTGGTTCCATGTTAATCTTAGGATTGTTTTTCTACTTCTGTGAAAAATTCCCTGGGTATTTTGAAAATGATTGCATTGGGGTGCCTGGGTGGCTCAGTCGGTTAAGCATCCGAGTTCAGCTCAGGTCATGATCTCACGTTTGTGGGTTCCAGCCCCGCATCGGACTCTGTGCTCACAGCTAGCTCAGAATCTGGAGCCTGTTTCAGATTCTGTGTGTCTCTTTGATGAGGAATGACATTAAATGTTTCATGGAATTCATCAGTGAAGCCATCAATCTTGCACTTTTCTTTTTGGGGAAGCATTTATTTTGTTTTGTTTTTTAAAGGGGAAGTTTTTGATTACTGACTCAGTGTCCTTACTCATTATCAGTTTGTCCAGATTTCCTATTTCTTCATGAATAGGTCTCCATTGGTTATATGTTTCTAGGAATTTTCCATTTTTTCTAGGCTATCCAATTTGTTGATGTACACTGGTTAATAGTCATCTCTTATGATCCTTGTGTTTCTGTGGTATCAATTGTAATGTTTTCTCTTTCATTTCTAGTTTTGTTTATTTGAGTCTTCTCTTTTTTCTTCCTTAGTCTAACTAAAAGTTTGTCAATTTATTTCAGAAAAATCTTTTTCGAAAAGAACTCTTAGCTTTGATCTTTCCTATTGTTCTTCTAGTCTCTATTTTATTTATTTCCACTTTGACCTTTTTCATTTCCATCCCTTCTGCTGACATCAGGCTTAGTTCTTTTCCAGTTCCTTGAGATGCAAAGGTAGAATGTTTACTTAAGATCTTTCATTTTTTTCTTAATGTAGATATGTTATATCTACATATACATATATATGTTATAGCCTTCCCTCTGGAACTGTTTTTGCTGGGTCCCATAAATTTTGGTATATTGTTTATATTTTATTTTGTCTCAAGATATTTTTTATTTAAAAATTTTTTTACTGTTTATTTCTGAGACAGAGAAAGAGACAGAGCATGAGCGGGGGAAGGGCAGAGAGAGAGGGAGACACAGAACCCGGAGCTGTCAGCACAGAGCCTGAAAGGGGACTTGAACTTATGAACTGCAATATCATGACCTGAGCCAAAGTCAAATGCCCAGCCAATTGAGCCACCCAGGTGCCACAAAATTTTTTGATTTCCCTTTTGATTTTATCTTTGACTCACTGGTTGGTTGTTCAAGAGTATGTTCTTTAGGGGCACCTGGGTGGCTTAGTCGGTTAAGCGTCCGACTTTCACTTAGGTCATGATCTCGCGGTTCGTGGGTTCGAGCCCTGCGTCGGGCTCTGTGCTGACTGCCAGCTCAGAGCCTGGAGCCTGTTTCAGAGTCTGTGACTCCCTCTCTCTCTGACCCTCCCCTGCTCATGCTGTCTCTCTCTCTCTCCTAGAAATAAATGAAAAAAAAAAACCATTTAAAAAAAGAGTATGTTCTTTAATTTCCACCTTTTTGTGAATTTTCCAGTTATCCCTCTGTTACTAATTTCTACTTTTCATTGCATTTTGGTCAGGAAAGATACTTGATATGATTTCAAGTTTTCTTAGATTTGTTAAGACTTGTTTTGTAGCCTACCACATAATCTATCCTATAGAATGTTCCCTGTACTCTTGAGTAGAATGTGTATTCTGCCATTCACTGGAATGTTCTGTGTATGTCTGTTAGCTCTATTTGGTCTGTAGTGTTGTTCAGGTCCACTCTCTTCTCTACCATCATGGTTTTATAAAATGTGAAAACATTGTATTATACAGAAGGTTAAAAAAAAAACATGATTAATACTTTCCCACCATAGCATGATTCATTTTTCCTTTAACAGTTTATTGGCACGGAATGGAGGATGAAGAGACACCTTTTGAGTAGAGTGTTTCTGTAGAGGTTTTGTCACAGGTCCGGACTCCAAAGGCAGGTCCATCCACCCAGAAGACTCACCCTTGTGAGAAATGTGTCCCAATCCTGAAAGACATTTTGCACCTGGCTGATCTATCTGGGCAGAAACTGTACGTAGATGGAGCATGTACAGACGTACACCGGCTTCAGGAGTGTCACAGCGCAGAGAAGAGGGATGTGGGCAGGGCTTCATTTATAAAGAGCTGCATACTCCATGTGTTAGGGAATCCCTTCACCTGGAGGAGGGTTGGAAAGGAGTTCCGGCCACATTGGACTTTCTCCAGCACCAGGTCATTCTTAACTGTGAGAAGCCAAACAAAATCACCACGTGTGGGGAGGCCTTTCCTGGTAGAGAAGGTCATTACAAATCACATGAATGTCAGAAAGTCTCCAGTCACAAACACAGTCTTGTTCACCACCCAAGAATCTCTATTAGAAAAAGGGCTTATGAGTCTAGCAAATACGTGAAAGCTTTTCATTGCAAGTAGTCAGTTGTTCAGCTCCAGAGAGCCCACACTGGAGAAAGGCCTTACGAGTGCAGTGAGTGTGGAAAATCTTTTAGGCTAAGAGCCACCCTCATTATACACCAGAGAGTTCACACTGGAGAAAAGCCATGTAAGTGTAATGAATGTGGGAAATCCTTTAGTCAGTGCTCCAACCTTACTGAACACTGCAGAATCCACAGCAGAGAAAGGCCTTTTGAGTGTGAGGAATGTGGGAAAGCCTTTGGGTACAAATCCAATCGTGTAAGGCACCAGAGAACGCACACTGGATAAAAGCCTTATGAGTGCAGTGAATGTGGGAAATTCTTCAGACAAAGCTTCACCCTTGTTCAACACCAGAGAATTCACACCACAGCAAGCCGTTATGAGTGTGTTCAGTGTGGGAAATCCTTTAGCCAAAGAGCTGCCCTCACTAGACACCAGAGAGTTCACACCAGTAAAAGCCTTTATGAGTGTGGAGAATGTGGGAAAGCCTTTGGATCCAAATCCAGACTTTATCTACACAACCAAAGTCACACTGGGGAAAGGTCTTATGAATGTGCTGAACGTGGGAAATCTTTTAGACAAAGCTACAGCCTCGCTGAACACCAGCGAATTAACAGCATAGCAAGGCCTTTTGAGTGTGACCAGTGTGGGAAACGCTTTAGCAGAAGAGCTGTTTTCACTAAACACCAAAGAATTCACACTGGAGAAATGCCTCATACGTGTCATGAATGTGGGAAATCCTTTAGTCGAAGCACCAGCCGTATTCAGCACCGCAACATTCACACAGGAGCAAGGCCTTATGAGTGTGGCCAATGTGGAAAATCCTTCAGGTAAAAATCTGTTCTCATTCAGCACCGAGTAGTTCACACCAGAGAAAGCCCTTACGAATGCAGCAATTGGGGTTTTGCCCCATTTAGCCACCGTTCTAGCCTCAATCTCCACCAAAAATTTCACAGTATAGAGAGGGCCCATGAAGGCGCTCAGTTGGTTAAGTGTCCGACTTTGGCTCAGGTCATGATCTCACGGTTCGTGGGTTCGAGCCCCGCGTCGGGCTCTGTGCTGACAGCTAGCTCAGAGCCTGGAGCCTGTTTCAGATTCTGTGTGTGTGTCTCTCTCTCTGACCCTCCCCTGCTCATGCTTGCTCTCTCTCTCTCTCTCTCTCAGAAATAAATTAAAAAAAAATTTTTTTAATTAAAAAAAAAAGAGAGGGCCCGTGAATGCAGGAAATACAGGAAATCCGTCATTCCAACCTCTAACATTGTTTAGCACCAGAAAGTCCACATTTGAAAATGGGCTTAGATTTGAAAGAAACATTGTCTTCCTGTTCACTCTAATGGCCCTAAATAGTTGTGTGAGGGAGCCACGTGCCTGAAGTTGATCCTCGTACCTCCAAGCATCCAGGGGGGTGAGATTCCCCCTGAATTTACAGGCGTGTGGGAGGCTTACTGGGGCTGCACTGCACATTCCAAACCACCCAGGAGACTTACTCGAATCCCACCCCTGCCAGTTTCCCCAGTAGAAGCCATCCCACTTCTACTACCTTGTACAGTGCTTCATCCATCACTCCAGTGTGCCTAAGGCAAGGCAGATGTCTGTGCTCTCTCCCATTCCCTGGAGGAAATCTTGAGTAGTCTTTGCCCTTTTCTGATTAAGTGTGAATATGACCCAGTTTGGGCCCAGAGTGGGCTCTGCTGGAGGCTTGCAGGGAAGACTTAGCTGCTTCATGGAAATTACTGGTTTCACATGCCACTCATAGTTGATTTTTCTAGCCTTCAAGTCATCAACCAGTAACTATCTGCTCTGGTTTGTGCAGTAATAAAGGCCTTATTGTTTAATCTCGGGGATTGTGTTCACTTTTTGGGGTGGGTGGAAAACAGAATTGTGCTCTGTGCATGTGCTTTTTTTTTTTTTTTTAAGTGCCATTAATGGCCAAATTTGAATTTTCTTTTTTTAAATTTTTTAATGTTTTATTTATTCCTGAGAGAGAGAGAGAGCAGGGAAGGGTCAGAGAGAGAGGGAGACACAGAATCTGAAACAGGCTTCAGGTTCTGGGCTGGCTGTCAGCACAGAGCCCGATGCGGGGCTCGAACCCGCAAACTGCGAGATCATGACCTGAGCCGAAGTCGGACGCTTAACCGACTGAGCCACCCAGTCGCCCCTGTGCATGTGCTTTTGTGTGGGCCCCAGCTTTGACCAAGAGTAGCTCTCGTTCCAGTTTTAGCCTAATTTGCATTGCTGCACAAGACCTAGGAACCAGTGCAGTGCTACATAGTCCTAATTTGTGGACTCCATACTTGGTGAGACCATAGGACACTTTAAGGAGGGGTCCCTTTTGCCAAGCTCCAGTGCCTTTAGGAGTGGCATGAATCTGATCTCTTGCCTGGAGGATGGTTTTGAGGAGAACATGCTGCTTTTCACCAGCTTCTACAAAGGAGTCAAGTGTCCTGATGTTTCTAATTCTGAAGACTGGCATCACTCAGACAACAGGAGCCAGGCTTCAACTGTAACTGGTACTAATATCCTCGATGTGATTAACAGGCAGGGAAGGGGCCTGCAGCAAACTAGATGGTATATGCCTCTTCTAAGAGTGCATCCATAAATGTTCCAGTGACTACGCTTGTGAGGAATTACAGGACCACCACAGCTGCGTATCTTCTATAGCTGAAGTCATTGTCAGAGCAAATAATCTAAAGAGTTGTGAATTCTCATTGTCTTCCTAGGCTGTTCATCTCAAGGGCCAGCCATTGCTCTAAAGGCAGAGAAATGACAGTGAATGGAGATCCTATCATCCAGGGATGTGACTTTTGTGGTCCAGCCAGTGTTCCATTTGTCCCAGACTGGAACAGTCCCCACTGCTCACTAACCTTTCCTGCACCGATTCATGGCTACTCCTTCTCAGGAATAAGGGAAAATAGTATTAGGTTGTTAACCTGCTAGTTTCCAAAGTGGGCAATTCAGATTTTTTATTTTGAACTATTTATTTTTTTAAGTAGGCTTCACACTCAGCATAGAGCCCAATACAGGGCCTGAACTCATGACCCTGAGATCAAGACCTGAGTTGAGATCAAAAGTCAGGCATTTAACTGACTGAGTCCCCCAGGAAGCCCTGAACATTTTTTTAGAAACTTTGAGGCATAATTGAAATGGAGTAATCTATACATATTTAAGGCATACAATTTGAAATTTTTGTCACACATATAAACCCATGAAACCATCATAATCATGACAATGAATGCCCATGATGTACCTCATGCCCTTTTATAATTTCTCCTTGTTCTTACCAGACCTACAAGGATACAGTGATGTACTGTCTCTAATATATTTGCATTGTCTAGAATTTACATGAATTGAATCATCAAGTGTCTAATCTTTTCTGATATTTTCCACAGTGCATAATTATTTTGAGATTCCTCAATGTGGCTTATATGAATGTTTATTTTTTTTATTGTTGAGTAGCATTCTACTTTATGGATTCACCATTATTTGTTTTATCCATTCATCTATTAATGGGCAGTTGGATTGTTTCCAGTTTAGTGCTGTTAGAAATAAAGCTTCAGTGAACATAAGCATATGATTCTTTACATGAATAGGAGTTTTGTTTCTCTTATACAAACATTTCAGAGAATGTGAATGTTTCAATATTTAAGAAACTGCTGAACTGTAATGTAAGGTGGTTACACCCATCTGTGTTCCCACCAGCCGTACATGAGCTCCCTTCCTCCACATTTTGCCAACACTTGGTATTGTCAGTCTTTTTAAATTAAAATTTTTTAATGTTTATTTATTTATTTATTTATTTATTAATTTCTAGGGGAGAGAGAGAGAGACAGCGTGAGCAGGGGAGGGTCAGAGAGAGAGGGAGTCACAGACTCTGAAACAGGCTCCAGGCCCTGAGCTGGCTGTCAGCACAGAGCCCGACGCGGGGCTTGAACCCACGAACCGTGAGATCATGACCTAAGCGAAAGTCGGACGCTTAACCGACTAAGCCATCCAGGCGCCCCAATGTTTATTTTTGAGTGATAGTGAGAAACATAGAAGCAGGGAAGAGATAGAGAGAGAGAGGGAGACACAGAATCCGAAGCAGACTCTAGGCTCTGAGCCATCAGCACAGAGCTCGACCCGGGGCTCAAACCCATGAACCCCAAGATCATGACCTGAGCTGAAATTGGATGCTTAATTGATGGAGCCCCCAAGAGCCCCATTAATTTTAGCTGTTTTAATAGGACTCTAATAGCAACTCGCTATGGTTTTAATTGCAGTTCTCTCCTGTTTCATGATGCTGAGGATCTTTTATGTTTATTTGCCACTTGTATATCTTTAATGAAATGACTGTGAACACCATTTGCTTGCTTTTAAACTTTCTAGTTCCACCCGCATTTATTAATTGGAATTTTACTGTAAGGAAGAGCTGTCCCTTCTGCCTTTATAAACATAGGTATATTTTGGAAAATTTAGAATTTCACAAGTAATCAAAACTACAAATTAAAATGAGGAAGTAATGATTTTTAAACTATTAGAGTGACAAAGATAAAAAAGAATGGAAAACAACATTCAAACATAGCATAATTTTCCCATTAATTTATTATCCTGTCATCTACCCTGAAGAATTTGACATGAAAACCACTCATGTGTAACATGGCTTGATAGCAACTAAAAGAAGCTTTTCCTTAACAATGTCATTTAATACCTTAAAATTTTGCTATTAAATGTCCAAGCATATTTAAACACTTATTTCCTACCTTATCCCTCAGAATATAATAGTTATAACTTTTTTTTAAGTAGTTTATTGTCAAATTAGTTTCCACATAACACTCAGTGCTCATCCCCACATAGTTATAACTTTTTAAATACATATAAATCCCTGGCATAAGCAATTGATGCAGATTAATTCACTTAATCCTCAAAATGACGTCTAGAAGTAGGTTATTACCAAATCCATTTTATAAACTAGGAAACCAAGGCTCTTATTAGCCCAAAGACTAACAGTTAACCTTCAGAATCTAAATTCAAATTCAGCTGTGTACTTCAATCTTTAAATTGTGTTAACATTATACAGGAAAATATTTCAAGAAATTTTAGACAATAAACTTGAACATCAGCTTAATATGTAACCTAAAAGGTGAGGGTGTTAATACTCGTAACTGAAGTGTCTTCAATACAATATATTTAGCCTTGTCTATTTCACCTCTGACTGCAGAGGCAGCTGGAGCCATCAAGTGAATGGATTGGCTTCACTGCCACGTTGTGGCCTCTCCCCTCTATTCATCCTTCAGGCTGCCTAGCCAGCCAGTACCCTTATCCAACCGCAACTAAACTCCTGAGTCTGTTCCAAATGTACCCCTATATCCTCAATCCAATATCTCCACTTGAAAGTCTCAAATGCACCTTGAGCTCATATTCCAACATCCTCAATTTCAGTTAGTAGTCTTGCCATACAAACAAGTTTAGAATCCAGATTCAGCCTCTGGCCATGATACTCCACACACAGTGCCGAGAAACTGCCTCAAGTAAGTCGGCTCGCATGTCTGGGTGTGTGGGTGTCTCTCTTTTGTGATGAGTCCTAATGTTTTCTATCAAATACCAGTTTTCCATGCATCTTCTATCATGTCAGCATTCAGTGATAATCACTGGGTAGTTGACTGTACATGGTTAAACATTTGTACCCCACGTGTATTGCTATTTCTGCATTTATTAGTTAGAAATTCTAAAGAAGAATAATTTTCCAAAATCTATTCAGTTACCTCAAAATACAGTCTGTGCAGAAAAGGGAAGAAATAGCTTGATACCTTCGCTCTAATTTAGTTATTTTCAGAATAACTGTTTGAATCATTAACAACATCCTCAAACAATAACCAAATGCTTATCTCAGGGATAAGAGTCCCCCTTTGCACACGTGCTCGGACTGTGATCATAGTGGCCACTATCACAGCAGGAAGAAACACTGGGCAAGGGGCTCTTCTTTTTGGGTAAGACTAAGATTTTTAAATGAATTGTATCTGTCTTTGTTAGGGATGTTATAAGGAGACACTATAGACTGAGTGGCTTATACACAACAGAAATTTATTTCTCACAGGTCTGGAGGCTGGAAGTCCAAGATCAGGGTGCTGGCAGATTTGGTGTCTAGTGAGAGCTCACTTCCCAGTTCACAGACAGCCTTCTTGCTGTGTCCTCACATGGTGGAAGGGGCAAGGGAAATTTCTGGGGTCTCTTTTGTAAAGTACTAATTCCATTCATTAGAACAGAGCCCTCATTACCTAATCATTTCCCAAAGGTCCCATCTCCTAATACCATCATATTAAGCATTAGGTTTTCAGCTTATGAACTGAAGGGAACACAATCAATCAGACCATAGCAGTATCTGTGTCAGGAAATTCAGTTAGAAACATATGAGAGGAAAAACAGATAGGATTGCTGGGGTTTGAATACCAAGATGCAGGGAAGAATTTTGGCAAAATGCCACATCATCTGCTTCCTTGTGACATTCACCATCCATTTCCCTTGTCATGACCCTAGCTGAATGCTCTTGTTCCTTGTCCCTTGACTGCACATATCAAGCCCTAAAGTATTGACTATGAAGCTTTGATCAGCATATAGTCGAGGAGTGATAATATTTGTTGGCTGCCCAACTACTGAAAGCATACACCTCATGACTGACAGGCAGCATGTGTGTTCAGTGTTTCTTTGGGTTTCTGTTCTACTGAATGGAATCTGTAATATCTTGTCTTACTTTTAGGGAACATATATTTTTTTAAAAAATAGAAAGGGCAGAATAAATATAAGAATACTTGGATAATAAGCTTAAAATTATACTTTATGTCAAACCTCTCTCATTTTAGGTAAATTCAATCTCCTCTATTTGCTCCACATAAAATTTGAAGGAGCTCCATAAATTTATTTAAAAATGTAAAGAAAACAAAATTTTCACATTACCCCGTTTCAGGGACACATTTTCCTCTCCAATGTCCTAGTAATGGCCCCGTGTGAAGTCTTTTCTCTCTAGACCCTGAGTCAACTTACTGAAACTTACAAAGCGTACTCTCAAGTTTCAGTCGGAGTGTATTTGAAGAGCAACAAGATAATGTTTATTAGAAGCTGTGAGAAAGTACTTTGTATCTAAGTAGCATTATAACATTATGGTATCTTGTATTACTCCCCCATACGGTGAGTAAGTCCCCCTTGTGGAGTCCTTAAGAAACACTACAAAGCTATTGAAATTCTACTCTCAAGAGTATCTGAAATTAAAGGATCTGTAGCATTCAAAACTCCTAGAAGACGGAGGCACCACACCCCATACAGGGGGCCAGATGGAAGGCCAGATGGAGTAAGGCAACTGGCTCAATCAAGCAGGTGAGGAGCCCAGAAAGAGACAGGACTCCCAGGCAAGTCTCATTATTGGGAGTCAGTAGGGAGCATGCAAACGACAAAAGGGAATTTATTAATCCACTGGAATGTCGCTACGTCACAGGGGAGGACAAGAAAAGGAACTTATCACGCTGGTGTGCCTGCTCATGTGGGTGGGGTGCTGACAGCCTGTTTGTAGGGTGTTGAGGCAGCAGGAAAATGTGATTTTAAAAATTTACAATACAGTGTGCCCACTTGCCCCTTTAGGAGCTTGTAAAATTAAAAGATGCAGAAAACACAATTTGGGAAATTGTGGAAATTTGGGTGCGTCCCCTTTAGGAGTATCCGATGCCTCCCCCTTCTTCATCCCAGCCTCTGCAAGCCCTTTCCCGGTGCCCCTGCCTCTGGGCCCTTGGCTCCTAGAAAGAGTGGAGAATTGCCAGGAGGGGCCGGAGGCAGGACAAAAACTACATTACCCAGAAGGCCGTGCCACAGGCAGGGGGCGTTACTGGCCCGTGTTGGCAGAGGTAGGACTTCCGGCGTCGCGGGTAGACGGAGGCTAATGATGTGGCTGGTCGGTTCCCGCCGGTGGTGAGCTCTCAGCATCTCTTCGGGACCGAGCCGGGACGCCGGGGAGGGGCTCCACCCCCGCCTCTGTGGGACTTGGGGGAGGGTCGGCTGAGCCCGCGGGGACCCCCCGGCGTCCTCGCGCGGCCCCGCGGTCCCCACGGCCTGATGGCGGCGCGCGTGGACCCGGCGCAAGTGAGTGGACGAGCGGGGCGGCGGCGTGCTGTGCCTCAGTTTCCCGGCCCCGGGGTGGTTCTCGGCTCCGGAGGGCGGCCGGGGCCACGTGGGGAAGCGTCCGTTTCTGGCACCCAGCGGGACGCTGTGTGGAAGGGACAGGTGCGGCTTCTGGAATTGCCCTCGGTCCTTGCCGGGTGCGGAGGACGACTCGCACCCCCGAGACCTCACGGCGGGTTCCGGTGGCGCCCCTTCCCGAAGCCGTGACCTTGAGCGAGTCCCCCTGCGGCGCCGGGCATCTGTGCTCCCGGAGGTGAAGTAGTATTAACGGATCCGCGTCCCGGGTTGGGGGCCCTGGAAACCATACGTGAGTGGCGTGTGTCCCCCGGTGTCCAGCAGGGCCGCGGGAGTGTCGCTCTGGGGGCTCTTTCCACGGAGATGCCTCCTGAGCCTGTGTCGGTCGCGTAGGCTAGACCCGGCGGGAGTCCGACCCTTGCGCCCTCCGGCCTCTAGCGGGCTAGAGCCGGGGCGGAGAATGGGGGGACGAGTTTCTGGAATTGCTGCTGTGCTTGGGCGGAGAGGTGGAAGCGCAGGCTGAGCGCCAGGGCGGCCAAGGAACTTCTTTTTCCGTTTACAGCAAATGGAACCGGCTTTCCCCTGACAGCAGTGGAGCTGTTTTCTTCTTTAAGACATTCAGTTAGGTTTGAAAAGTTGAGTCCATCCACATGGTCAGTGATGACAGTGTGCAGGAGTGTGATGTCCCTTTGCACACACATGCACAAGGGGCTCTGGGGAGACTCTAGCGGTCGCCCCAAGTCCCCCCTTCATAGCCTAGACCGTTGTCAGCACTAGTCTTGTTCCCCCTCCGCAGGGCCCTCTCCTCACTTTTTCAGACCCAGCCTGAAGGAGGCCTTCCCTGTTGCCCTGTGTAAAGTACACTGTCATCTCATTCGTCTCCTTAACTCCATTTTCTTGTCTTGGGAATCTTTAGGGGCCTCAGACGTTGTCTTGCTGATTTTAGTTGCTTGTTTAGGATGTTTCCAGCCCCGGATCGTGAGCGCCTGTCGCTGCCCTATGCCAAGACCTAGAACGGCCTGGGCTTGTAAAAGGTACTCAGTAAAAGGTTGAATGAGTGAACGGGTCTCCCACTCAGGGGCTACCATCATACTTGTAGTAAATGCACACAAACTCCACCTTGGCCTTCCGGGCTGTGCTGGATCTGCCCCTGCGACACCTCGGTGCTCCTCCCTTCCCTTCTGGATGGTGCTGAGCTTGTCCAAGTCCTTCCTATTTTGCAGCCTTTGTACTTGCACTTCCTTCTTCCGGGGCCCCTGTCCCCAGGCCTCTGCAGGGCTGTCTCTCCTGTGCGTCAGTGTCACCTACTAGAAGAGCCTTTTCCTGGCTGTTTTAGTTCTGGCAGAGGTGCGCCTGGCCCCCACCTTCCTGTTTTCTGGGGACATCATCTTTTGCTGGATGTTCCAGTCCTTTCTCTGCTCCTTTAATGTGAGATTATGGGCTTTCTAGAGCTACCTAAGCTCCAGGCTGTGGGCCGTCACATGGACATGATAGTAGCATTTATGTTGTGGGCTGTGGGCGGGTTAGGAAAAGTCACAAAATGCATTGAACACATTCCGGCCTGGGCACTCCAGTGTCTGCATGTGAACCTTTTTGTTTTAGCTCTCGGAACTGCCTGGTGAAGTGGGAGTGATTATGGTATCGATGTGGAAACCAAGGCTTAGAGAAATGATGTGATGTCCTCCCCTTGGTCACAGCTGGCAAGTGTCAGATTCGGTCCCTGGGAGTCTGGGTCCAGAACAAGGGACTTTTAGTCACTTTACCTGAGTGGTAAAAGCTCTCTGCTGGGGGGCGGGCACAGGGGAGGACCAGGGAGCCTCAGCTACTATTGCTGTGGTTCTCATTGTTGGAATTACCAGCATGATCCTTTTCCCTGTTCCTCGCATGTCCCAGATCACTTACTGCCCCTACAGTCCTTAGGAACACCACCGTCTGTCATCTCCAGCGGCTTCTCCAGGGGAGGCTTTTCTCTCAGCCATAACTGCATTATGTACAAAGGCTGCCTCTACCTCCGCCTTGAGCCCAGCACAGAGCTCTGCCCTCAGGAGGCCTCAGTGATTCAGGCCTGGGTCTCTCTGCACCTTCACCAACAAGTGAGTAACAGGGTCTGACTGCATCCAACAGCACAAGACCAATGCCACTACCTCTGTTTGGCTTCCCAGGTTTTGGTTACCTTTAAGGATGTAGCTGTGACCTTCACCCAGGAAGAGTGGGGACAGCTGGAACTGGACCAGAGGGCCCTGTACCAGGAGGTGATGCTGGAGACCTGCGGGCTTCTGGTCTCCCTGGGTAAGGACTCACCTCTCACTCCTGTGGGGCACCCCGACTTCGGCTCAGGTCATGATCTCATTGTTTTTCAGTTTGAGCCTCACATGAGGCTCTGTGCTGACAGCTCAGAGCCTGGAGCCTGCTTCAGATTCTGTTTCCCTCTCACTCTCTACCCTTCCCCCACTTGCACTCTGTCTCTCTCTCTCAAAAATAAAATAAAAACACAAGAGGGGCGCCTGGGTGGCTTAGTCGGTTAAGCGTCCGACTTTCGCTTAGGTCATGATCTTGCGGTTCGTGGGTTCGAGCCCCGTGTTGGGCTCTGTGCTGACTGCCAGCTCAGAGCCTGGAGCCTGTTTCAGTCTGTGACTCCCTCTCTCTCGGACCCTCCCCTGCTCACGCTGTCTCTCTCTCTCTCTCTCCTAGAAATAAATAAAAACTTTAAAAAAAAAAAAAAAAAGCAGCAAGTGGCTCCAACTGAGACTTGAAGCTTGGAGGGGAGGTCAAGGAGGGTTTCCAGGTGGAGGAACCAGTATAAGAAAAGGCCCTGGGGTGAGAGAAAGAGGCGAGCCAAAGGAACATCTGGCTCACCTTTTCGCCAGCCCCTCTGTGAGCTCAGCACCCTGCACATAGCACACACCAGACCTGAGACCTGTCCCCATGAGTCCTGGGCTCACGATCAGAATCTGCCAGTTGAAACTTCAGTGGGTCCTGGTACCTCAGTCACTGGACTTCTGTGCAGAACCCGCCTGTCTCTGTGGAGATGTATCTGCTGCACGTGACAAGACCAGCTTAAACTGCCTTCCCCTGAGGAAAGTTCCCAACTCACCTACCGACAAGCCCCAGGGTGGGACTGGCCTGGTCTGGAGGATGCCCCTTCACCACTCCTTCCTCAGTGATGTGAAGGTGTTCTCCGCTCCTCTCCCCAGACCAGGCATCTCCCTGTTCCTCAGGCTTGCCCCCTTGTGGCCTGTGGGGTGCTGCAGCCTCGCCTCGTGGAATAAGGGTTTGGTCCTCAGAATGGGCATCCAGCTCAGGTTACCTGCCTGCCTCAGATTATCAGTGCTCAGGGATGCCATTCCCTGACTTCTAGCCCCTCGGCTTTCAGTGCCCCCTGGGCAGCCTCTGGGGAGAGATCCTCAGATAGGTCGCTAGGCCTCACCCCAATAAATTGTGTTCCTTTTGGCTTGAGGTCAGAATCGAGCACTCCTAGGGGCGCCTGGGTGGCTTAGTCGGTTGAGCGTCCGACTTTCGCTTGGGTCATGATCTCGCGGTTCGTGGGTTCGAGCCCCGCGTCGGGCTCTGTGCTGACTGCCAGCTCAGAGCCTGGAGCCTATTTCAGTCTGTGACTCCCTCTCTCTCTGACCCTCCCCTGCTCACGCTGCTCTCTCTCTCTCTCCTAGAAATAAATAAAAAATATTAAAAAAAAAAAAAAAAAAAAAAAAAAAGAATCGAGCACTCCTAGATGGTTCCAAAGCACCTAGGTTTGAGAACCAGTGACTTAGATGAATTACAGAATCCCTTCTGGAAGGAGGGGCTCACTTTCCCAGGGTCCCATGTCTATGTGTGAAAGCGGTGTGCCCCCAAGTAGGGTTGGCTTCCGCCGACGAAGTTCAAGGACGCTGGTGTTGTACAGAGACAGCAGCACCCTCTATAGTAGTTGCAGCCCAGGAAAGGGACCTGTGTGTAGGTTGGCACATTCTTCACGTCAGTAGTAGCTTCACTCGGGTCTTTTCCCTGTCATTAAGTCCCAGGCCAGATGGAGACATTGCTTTCTTCTCATACACCAGGGCTTGTTTCTTTCTCTGTCCACAGGGCACTCAGTCCCCAGAGCAGAGCTGACCCACCTGCTGAAGCATGGGCGGGAGCTGTGGACTGGGGAGAGAGGCCTCTCACGGAGCACCTGCCCAGGTAGGAGCAGGGAGCTGTGCAGGGCGGGGAGAGGTGGGGGTTCCTGGCAGCCTCCAGCATGCAAGGGACCAGTGCCTCTGCACCCGTGTGAGACTCTCTGTGACCTCCTGGGGGTTCGGGTGGTTTCTCACATCCAGGTGTCGCATTGCATCTGCAGGCCGGCTCGGACGCCCAGCATTATTTAGAGACCTGGTGCTGGATGTCAGCGTGTAGGTTTAGGTGTGCTCTCTGGTCTAATCCAGCTGGTGGAAGGGAGATGCAGGGGGAAGGGAAGAAGGCACATCCACAGACACCCCAAGGTCACTTCCACCCATGCTCCCTGGAAGAGAAGTAGGCATCTGGCCACACCTGGATGCTCAAGCCTGGGGGGTGCTTAGCTGCGCGTGCCTGCGGAGAAGAGCCAGCGTACTTGGTTTGTATCCTGTCAGTCGGCTGTGCTCAGCCTACTTGGAAACTCAGGGTAACGACAGTTTCTGTGATTCCATTGTTTGAGGTTGTGGTGAGCCAGCATACCGTGCCTGGCCTGTGGAAGCGTCAATGGAAGTCAGGTTTTTTGTCTTTTGTCTTTTTTTTTTAAATAGTTTATTTTTTTAAATAGTTTGTTTTTTGTCTTTTGAATTAAAAATTTTTTTAAACATTTAAGGCTCTGAGCTGTCAGCACAGAGCTCTGCATGGGGCTTGAACTCAGGAACCATGAGATCATGACCTGAGCCAAAGTTGGACGCTTAACCAACTGAGCCCCCCAGAAGTCAGCTCTTGGTGTGTCCATGTAATTATAGTCCGAGTGGGTGACAGTGAGGTAACACATTTTTTTCTGATTCAAGGGACCTTTCTTACCCTTGAAAGTACTGTCTCTACTCTGCAAATTACACTTCACTTTGTATCCAACTGTCTCCCACCCTTCTCTCTCCTTTCATCCAGCCCCCTGTTTGTTCATCAGAAGCAGCCCCTTGCACTGGCTGGATCCTCCTACCTCTCTTGCCCTGAAAACCGCACGGTGACAGTGGGCCTTTTCAGCCCCACATCTGTGCCGTGGAGTAGCTGGGGCCGTCATGGTGAGGCGTGGCCTCCTCTCTGGCGGTCCTTCAGGCTTCTCAGCCAGCATGTCTTTGGCGGCCCTCCCAGCTCCTAGATCCACATCTCCGCTTAGTGTCTCAGAGGCATGTCGAGTCCATCAGGCCTTAGATACTCACCATCCTGTCCACTCTTCCCCATCCCGGGTCAGAGAGCGTCCTGCTATTCAAAGCAGGGTAGAAGCTGGAAATAGCACCTCAGCATCTCGGTCTCCTTCAGACCCAACATTGATCCCTCCCCGTTCCTGCCCGTTTGGCATGATCTGTGTCTGCCGAGTGTATCGCCCCCACTGCTCTAATTGGCTGCATCTCGAGCATCTAGTCCAGGTTTCCATCGTCTCTTGCTCGGATGATGCCAGAGCCTCTGGGCAGGTCTCCCTGCATCTGCCATGTGCCTCCGGGCAGCCCTTCCTCTCACACTGGCTCCTGCAGCCCCCCGGATGCCTTCCAGGGCTTCACCACTTCTGCTGTCACCAGGGTCTCAGCATATATTCTGCCTCGCGTTGGAAATGAAGGCTGTGTACTTCTGCTTCAGGCTCCTCAATCCAGAATGACTCATCGTGTCTGTCCCGCACCTACGGCTTCCTCGTCCTCTATAGAAGATCCTGTGCCTCTGGTCCTGGCCCGTTCCTCCCCGACAGCCTCGGCCATGCCTCTGCCTTCTCAGGAAGCTTGCTGCCTCACTTCCTTCCGGCCTGGCTGCATCTTCATCGTCTGTCTGCTCCACATAACCATGTGCTCCGATTGTCTACACACAACAAACACAAGCGTTTGCAGATCAGGACTAGCTTGCGGCCAGTGTTGACGTACCTTATAAAGCCAGGTTTCTTGAAGGAGCCGTCTCATATGTATACACTTGACTTCCTTACCTTTTGCTTAAACTCTGCTTGGTCTTCTCTCCTTACTATCAGAAGTGTACGGTGATGTGCACAAGTCTTAAGAGTCAGGCTTAGGCTTTTGCATGTGTGCTAACTGAGGTATTCCTCACCCCAGTCCAGACTCGGAATATTTCCAGCAAACTAGCAGGCCCCTGTGCCCCATCCTTGAGATGGCTCCTCCTACAGTGGAAACCACTGTCCCCATGCTTTCACTGAAGATGGGTTTATCAGGGGCTTTCCCACCCCTTTTTGTACCTTGAACAACAGAAATTTGTTTTCTCACAGTTCTGGAAGCTAGAAGTCCGACATCGTGGTGTCAATGGTGTCGGCTTCTGCTGAGGCCCCTTTCCTTGACTTGTAGGGCAAGCTTTGCTTGTGTTTGAGGGTGTCCTTGCTGCCACCCTAATAGCCCAGTGCGGCAGTGAAAACAACAGCATATTAGGGTTCTCCAGAGAATCACAGCCAGGACGAGGTAGAATCAGGCCCAGAGGCGGAAGAGCTGATGTCGCGGCCTGAGTCGGAAGGTGTCTGGAGGCAGGATTCTTGCCCTCCCAGGGGAGCCCGGCCTTTTCTCTTAAGGCTTCAGGAGACTGGATGTGGCCCTCTTTCAAAGAGGCCCACTCTCTGAGAGAAAGATTATGGATGATCATCTTTCCTCAAAGTCTGTTGGCTTAAATGTTAATTACATCTTAAAAATACCTCAACTAGAACTGGTGGACTAGGCCTAACCAAGCTGATGTGTAAAGGTGACCGTCACAGAAGCTCAGGATAATGACCCACAGCAGAGTATACACACCGCATCAAGAATCGTGTCAAGCGCTTTATGGCATTTTCTTACTGAACCCTCACAACGGACTCCTGGTCTCTCAGATGAGGAAGCCACGCCTTGAAGAAGAAAGTAACTCATCCACCAAGATCACTCACTTGGTGGAGGTGGGGCTGGAACAATGGCTTCTGGCTCCAGAGCCCTGTTAACCACCATGTGATGCCTCCTAGCAGAGCAGAAGCTTGTCTTTTATACCGTTTGGCCCCGGGTGTCCCTCCATCCCTCCTCTTCTTCAGTCTTGATGCTCTTCCTTTGACTGTGATCCCCCTTTGCTAGTGGCCTCACCAAGGCCTCCGGGGCCCCTTTCTCCCTTTAGCTGTACTGCACTCTCCCAGGAGCGACTCTGCACGTGCTCCATCCGTTTCAATCCGTGCCCCCTCCCTCCTGCTCTCTGTGGCTTCTCCATTAGGACCTAGCTCGTGGGATACCTTCTCTGAGAAGATGACATCTTTTCCCTCCCAGTTCTGTTCAGTGCCACTTCCGTGTGCTCCTAGCACCAATGGACATCAATTCTTGGAGCAAATGATCAAAACTGTCCCCCATCCTCTCATCTGGATTGTGAGGAGGGGCCCCCACTCCCGACCCCCTGTCTCCTGGTCCGGCCTACCCTTGGGATTTTCCCTTTAATGGTGTCAAGAGTACAAGGACCAGAAGAGTCCTTAGAAACCCAGGTTCTAGAGATGTAAAACGCAGCCATTGTCAGTGGTGCTAGATCAGCCTCACTTGCCCCGAAGTGTTGATTTCGTCTCCTCTATACCGCAGCACTAAAAGTCCCCCTTTGTGTGTCGGATTCTCTCCAGGTGACAGTGCAAAACTTCGGACCAGAGACCCAAGCACTTCTCAGCTGGTTTTGTCTGCCGGAGCCTGGCTCCGGGAAAGCCTGGCCCAGGGACCTCCAAGGGACTCCAGCCTGGTGCAGACCAGGGATTGGGAAGGGCTTGTGGAAATGCAGAAAGGCCGACTGACGCCTGGGACAGATGCTCACGAGACCCACCGTGAGAGAATGAGCCATGAAGATGATGGTTTGGGGACAGAGGATAGCCTGCACTCCAGGGTCTTGCAAGAGAGAGTCTCCCCGGGAGAGGTGCTCCATGAACGTGACCCACAGGGACCAGGCAAAGGCCGCACGCTTCACGCGGGGAATGATCTCTACGAATGCAGGGAGTGTGGGAAAGGGTTTAACCGTAAGTGGTACCTTGTGCGGCATCAGCGGGTCCACACTGGAACAAAGCCCTATGAATGCAACGCGTGTGGCAAAGCCTTCAGCCAGAGCTCGACCCTGATCCGGCACTACCTCATCCACACCGGGGAGAAACCGTACACGTGCCCGGAGTGCGGGAAGGCCTTCAAACGCAGGTCCTACCTCGTGCAGCACCGCCCGGTCCACACCGGGGAGAAGCCCTACGAGTGCGCCCAGTGTCGCAAGGCCTTCACCCACCGCTCCACCTTCGTCCGGCACAGCCGGACCCACACTGGCGAGAAGCCCTTCGAGTGCAGGGAGTGCGAGAGGTCGTTCGGCCACCGGGCGCACCTGATCCAGCACTACGCCGTGCACACCGGGGCGAAGCCCTACGACTGCGCCGAGTGCGGCAAGGCCTTCCGCTGCGGCTCGGAGCTGGCGCAGCACCGGCGCGTGCACACGGGCGAGCGGCCGTTCGCGTGCGCGCAGTGCGGCAAGGCGTTCCACCGCAGCGCCCACCTGCTGCAGCACGCTGTGGTGCACGCGGCCGACGCCCCGCACCGCTGCGCCGACTGCGGCAAGGCCTTCAAGCGCCGCTCGCACCTCCTGCAGCACCGGCGCGTGCACCCCCGAGGCGGCCCCGCCGCCGGCGGATCCCCGCGGACAGAGCTGTGAGGGGACAGGTCACCCGCGGGCCTGCCCCGGTCAGGGACGCGCCGCGGAAGGACGTTCCTAACATAACGGCTGAGAGCCGCTGGCCAGAAGCAGCACCCTCCCTGCCGTCCGAGAACCCCTAACGAACAAGGGCAGCCGCGTCACTGTCGTTGCTGTGAGAAAACCCGTGACGCTCAGCACTCACTGTTAGGTCAGGGGTCGCTGGGAATCGTACACCGCGCGGGCCTTCTGGCGCCTGGTAGACGGATGCGGGAGACGGACAGTGGGTACTGTGCACTCACAAGGACGTCCCGCCACAGGTCTGCCCCTCGGTTGACCCTTAGAAAGCCGCTTCAGCATTACTTTTAAAAGAAGAATAAAAAGAAGGGGATGGAAACATACACTTCAAATGGGAGAAACAGATGTCTTTACAAACTTTCACATTTCCGTGCCAAACCTATTAAGCTTTTCATCAGATGGGGGAGTATTTGAGAGGAAGGGCCTCAGCCCTTTTTTTTTTTTTCTCTAAGTTTATTTTTATTTATTTTGAGAGACAGCAAGGGAGAGAGAGAGAGAGTCTCAAGCAGGCTCCACTCTGTCAGCCCAGAGCCCAACTTGAGGCTCGAACCCACAAACCATGAGATCACGACCTGAGCTGACATCAAGAGCTGGATGCTTAACGACTGACCACCCCGGCACCCCCAGCCCTTTGTTTTTATGTGTTCACTGCCACCCTGTGTCTGGAAAGTTTGGACGGTGAGGGCAGCTCTACAGACGTTTGCTGGAAGACTTTGTTCCAATCATCCTCACCCATGAGGAACGTCGTTCTTCTTGAGAAATGTGAAGGCTGAAACACAAGATACTTGAACTTAAAAGTTAGAATTCTGAAAATAACACCACATGCCACTTACACTCACATTGTCTGAGAGAAGGAATCCGCGTACACCGCGTACACTGTCACATTGAAATATGCTCCCCTCAAGAATGTTTACGGCTTCAGTATTTATAAGTAAAGCTTCTGTTCCTGTGGTTTTTAAATCCTCGACGTTCTCTCTCCCTCACTTTTTCTCGACTCCATTCTGCTCCTTTGTTTTCTTTCTTTTTCCCTGACGGTATGGTGGGGCCTTCTCAGGTGGGTCCTGGTGGTTTTGGGGTCTGAGGCCTCACGTCCCCTCCAGCTGTCTAGGGCTTGAATTGTAGCTAGAACCAGGGACATAAAACACACTGCTGGGGCAAATTCATGAGGACCCCAGGAAACAAATGCCCAAATATCCTCACTGTCTGATCTTATAAAGGGTTGTGTGAAGTTCTGCTACAAAATAAAGGGCCAGGGACTTTAACAGGACAGTCTGGGTGTGTACATGCCAGTGTTGGTTTGTGTGGGCTTCATGGTTGCCACCCCAGACTTCCTCCCTTGATGCTGGTATCAGATGTGGTCATTTGAAATTCATCCTGTGGACGTTCCTTCAGTTTTCAAGGCACACATGGTAACGTTAACAGTTTAAAAACTACAGGAGAACGTAGAATCATTTCCTCACTCAGAGCTGCTTCTGCACCTTTATAAGGCTACATGCACGGGTCACATTTTCACAGTGAGCACTCATGTATCTGTGGTCCATTGTACAAATGAACTTATTGATGAGTTAGTGAGGTCTAGTTTTTGTTTTCAGGATAGCATGCATAGTTTTCTGTTTTTCAGAAAGGAGAGCTGACTCTCGATCACCCCACCCACCCTCTGTCCTCTCTCTGGACGGTGGTATGTATTGTAGCCATGGCTGTCCTTGTGGCTGAGCATTGGGTTCAAGAGAGTTGGAGAAACCCCTCTGGAAACATCTTGGTTTTCATCAAAGGGTTCTTTGCATGCCTGCCCATGCAGGCTTTGTCTTTGTCCCAAAGCAGGAGCGATGTGTTTTCTACTAAATGAAGGAAATCTCAGGGTTTGTTCCTCAACTTCAAGGTCTTGCCATAGCGTCTTAACGTTCAGTGTGAGGACCTATTATATACTCGCCGCCACAACAGGCAGGGGTCTCCTGAAGGACCTCCATCCTTCGTTCACATGACCACATAGTATGTTCTGGGCACTCTGGGGTATGGGGCACCTGAGTGGCTGAGACAGGAGTCCTGTCCTTGAGCAGGGAGAGAGCTTAATGCCTAGTGTAGGTGAGCAGGGAATGCTGAAATCGAAAAAGAGAAGGAAGTTGAGCACATGGCTTTGCTGGATTCCTAATCACCTTGAACATTTGGTCTCCAAAATAGGATTTTTCTCCATTCTTGAGAGCTCTCTGGGTACTGGTCCTGATGGTAGGTGCTAGTGAATCAGTAAAGTTAGGATAAGTAGTAGAGTGGGTTCTTACAAATGGATAAGAAAGTTAAGGTGACATTTAGTGCTCTCAAAAATCACTTATTATGTATCTCGTGTGGGTCATGGACTTTCCTAGGTACATGAGATGCACAAAAAAACAAAAGGATTTTGCCCTTGTAGAACTTCTGGGTGAGGAGACAGCAATGTTCCTAAGTTCCAGAGCATGTCAGAAGGTGATGGGTTCGGGACAGTTGGGTGGCTCAGTCAGTTATGCACCCGATTTCGGCTCAGTTCATGATCGCACGGTTTGGGAGTTAGAGCCCTGCATCAGGCTCGGTGCTGCCAGCTCCGGGCCTGACGCCTGCTTCGAGCCTCTGTCTCCCTCTCTCTCTCTGCCCCTCCCACACTCACGCTCTCTCTCAGAAATAAAATAAATATTTAAAAAAAATTTTTAAAAGCTTTTCTTTCTTCTGAAATGAACTGAATATTCATATTGGACAATGAAATATGGAGATATTCTAAAACTGAGTAGGATCAAGATAGGCACACCAGATACACTAAACTGACCCACTAATTTCCTGGTGGGATCAATCCCCTGTAAATTCAGATGACAAATGTTCAAGTTTGGAAACTGAAGTGGTTGTTTCCTTAACACAAAAGAACCACTAAGACATATTAGACTTAATAACATAATCCAGGATACAGAAATATACTAGACCTATCAATGTAAATCAACACATTTCCTGTCTGTAGGAAATATATTTAAAAAAAAAAGCAATTAAAAAAAATTATCTTGTGCAGAGCCACCTGGGTGGCTCAGTTAAGCATCTACCTCTTCGCCTGGATGGCTCTGTCAAAAAAAAAAAAAAAAAAAAAAAAGCATCTACCTCTTGATTTTGGCTCAGGTCGTGCTATGATTTGTGGGTTCAAGCCCCACATCAGGCTCTGCTAACAGTATGGAGTCTGCTTGGGATTCTCTCTCCCTCTCTCCGCCCCTACCCTACTGGTGCACGTGTGTTCTCTCTTTCCCTCCCTCTCAAAATAAATAAAACTTTTTAAAAATTATCTTCTGCAAAGTTAATTGAAATATCATAAAACAACATTAAAACTAAGTAAGTGTAAATTGAAGTGAAATTAATAACTTTTAATAGGATCAGAATGAAATAACAGCAAAGAAACACTGCACACTGAAATAGAAATTCTAATATTGAAAATAGATCAATTCACAAAATACCTTCTGTAATGTAGTACTAGTTGCACAGCAATTTTTCCAAAGTCTCTCCAGTAATTACAAAAATTTAAATTTTTAAAATGTTTTTTATTTATTTTTGAGAGTCAGAGACAGCACGAGCAGGGGAAGGTCAGAGAGAGGGAGACACAGAATCTGAAACAGGCTCCAGGCTCTGAGCTGTCAGCACAGAGCCCGACGCGGGGCTCGAACCCACGAACCCTGAGATCATGACCTGAGCCAAAGTCAGATGCTTAACCTACTGAGTCACCCAGGCGCCCCCAAAATATTTTTAATTAATAAATAAAATTATGCAGTGAAGAGAACTGGCCCTGACAAACACCAACTATATTAACAAGTTTTTATGCAAAATAGGTCAAGGAGGTGGAGGGTACAGGCTTCCAGCTATGGAATGATTAAGTCACAGGAATAAAAGGCACAGCCTTGAGAATATAGTCACTGATTTGGTTATAAGGTTGTCCAGTGACCGGCAGTAGCTACACTCGTGAGCATAGGATAACATGGACATTATCAATTCTTATGTTGTACACCTGAAACTAATGTCACATTGTGTGTCAACTACACTCAAAAAAAAAAAAAGAAGAAGAAGAAAGAAATTGACAATTTTTTTGGTGGTACAGAACAGGGACTTTGTGAGACAAACGGATACATAGATAGAGGAGAAATAAGTGACAGGTGACAGATGATAAGGTTGAAGTCAGACGCCCAACCAACTGAGCCACCCAGACGCCCCGGGGTGACATGATAAGGGGAGAAGGAAGAAAAAAATTCATTAAATATATGGCATTAAAATATTTGAGTATTTAATTGAAACATAGAGGTGAGTTTTTACCTGGTACATTAGAGAGTTTTAGAAAATAACACTCTCGATCTAAAAATATTTTTTAGTGACCTATCTCATCACTGAAAATATCCTGCTATATATTGACAATGAAGGACAGGGCAAATCATTACTAAAGTGAACATAGGCCAGAGGATACCCGAGTTCATAAAACGGAAATAATAGTGAAATCAGTAATATGCCACAAGTAAACTAAAATGAAACTTAAAGAAAATATTTAAATCTGGAGTATTTAAAAGAGGAAACTATCAATAATCTCCTGGTACTGATATTAATCAGTTGGGTTAACCAAAAAAATGGTGTAATGTATAGGAACAGACAGTATGAAAAAAATAAACCCAGAAGGCATGTTCATCTCACCAATGAGCAGAAAATTGCAAGCAAAAATGATGTTTAAGGGGCACCTGGGTGGCTCAGTCGGTTAAGCGTCCAACTTCAGCTCAGGTCATGATCTCATGGTTCGTGGGTTCTGAGCTGTCAGCACAGAGCCTGGAGCCTGCTTTGGATTCTGTATCTCCCTCTCTCTCTGACCCTCCTCTGCTCTTGCTGTGTGTGTGTCTCTCTCTCAGAAATAAAACATTAAAAAGAAAAAAAATTAAACTCTGCTTTAAAAAAATGATGTTTAATCATGTTTACCCGTAACAGTAATTTGTTAAGACTATTTTGGATCAACTCGCTGTGATTTAAATTTTACATATTTTTCCTTCTCTATCACAAGCCATAATGATTCAAACATCACAATATTGGATATACTTTCCTCACAGTTTGTGAGTTGGAGTCCCACATCAAGCTCTACACTGACAGTCCAGAGCCTGCTTGGGATTCCCTCTCTCTGTCCCTCCCCTGCTGTCTCTCTCTGTCCCTCTCTCAAAAATAAATAAATAATGGGGCCCCTGGGTGGCTTAGTCGGTTAAGCGTCCGACTTTCGCTTAGGTCATGATCTCGCGGTTCGTGGGTTCGAGCTCCGCGTCGGGCTCTGTGCTGACTGCCAGCTCAGAGCCTGGAGCCTCTTTCGGTCTGTGACTCCCTCTCTCTCTGACCCTCCCCTGCTCACGCTGTCTCTGTCGGTTAAGCGTCCGACTTTCGCTTAGGTCATGATCTCGCGGTTCGTGGGTTCGAGCTCCGCGTCGGGCTCTGTGCTGACTGCCAGCTCAGAGCCTGGAGCCTCTTTCG